AGGCCCCTGGTTGAGGGAGCTAGCTGTGACTGAGGGGACATGGACCCCAGAAGATTTGCACAGGAATTTTTTATGAGGGCTAGGTGGTAGTCTGAACACACAGCAAGGATTTTATCAGTTTTGTTTTGCCATACACTGTTGCCAAACCATTTGATCATCTTTTCTTTTTTAACCATTTGTTCTTCCTTATAACAAATCCTTTTGTTTCTCTATTATTTTATCAATAGGCCTGTGGTAAATAGGGATTTCTGGGCAAATTAATGACCTGGGCATACCCATTCAGCAGAGTGGGGGTCCAATAAGCTTCCAGAAATCTGGGGTGCATCTCTGGGAGCACCCTGACACCCCAAGCTTTTATCTCACACATTATAAGCCTGATTTTTTAAAAGTACCCCCAAATCATTAGCTGCCTCTGAAAATCTTGCTCAGATTCACAAACAGGCAATCAAGTAGGATCCAAGCAAGTTGGCACCTCAGGGAAAGTCATGCCATATCTTGCTTATACCACCTTGCCCTGTAAGTCAACATTCCCCAGACAGATTTTTTTCATAACATCTTTACCACCCATGAAAAACTCAGACTTGGACACGTCTTTAATAGTTTCATTGCTGCACGGATGGCTTTGAGGAGCTAAATGGAAAAATGAGGTGCCTGACTCATGGAACCTATAATCATATTCAAAGTGATACCATTATTAACTGGTGGGGGAGTGGCTGGGTTGAAAGGCAGTGGAAGAGGAGATCCGGAGATTTATTTTTTTCTCCCAAATAACAGCCATTAACAGTCCCACTGGGAAATATCTCATTTCATTTTACAAGCCGATTATGGCTACTATGACTATGAGAAGCAAAGGCAAAGTAAAATTTTCATCCACCCCCCCCAAGTCACTTTTCATCCGAAGCATTTATATGATGAATATCATGTTTGCATTTTACAGAAGGGGAAACTGAGGCTAAGGAAGAGTAAAATGATTTGACAAAGACCACCAATTACTGAGAAGCAGAGCCAGGAAAAGAACGCTGGTCTGCTGTGTCTCAGTCTAAGGCTCTATCCTTTATGTCACTGTCTCTCAGGATGTTCTCTTAAGGTAAATGAGGATGAGGGCCAAAATGACACAATGACACTGACAGCACTCTCGCAAAGATAGAGCTCTTTCTTTCCTGTAAATTCCTGCAATAATCTTACAGTCTCTTAAAGGATTACAGAAGGCATTTGAAGCAAGCTATCTTAAAATTTGGGTAATTATATCACTAGGAATTTCCTAAGAGCCTTGGGTTTAAAAACTGCATCCCTAAAAGAGTCCCAAAGTAGTCAGCATTCACATAGCCAGCATGGGTTCTGACAAACAGAAGAAGAGATCAAGAGGGCCTGAAGAGTCTCTGGCCCTTTTTGCAAAAGTGTACAAGATCTCTGAAAGATCAAGCCACTAACCTGCTAGGTACACATGCAGTCAGGCAACAGCACATCAGTGAACTGCCTACTCAGGATGAACTGAAATGGCTTCTAAAATCTCCTTTCCTCTTATTTGGAACTTTTCCATTAAGTTCTACTTGGATTTTCCTTTTGTTTGGAATTCCCATCTAGAGGGTGAAGTTACATGTTTCATTGAGACCACACTAAATCTATGGAGTGTTAAGCAGCATTAAAGTTACAACACTTTGTGAGCAAACATACGTTAAGGGTTTCTTGCCTTCACAGCTCTGACTTGCCACTACAGGGCTGGCAAGCAGGGGCATGGCTAGGAGTAGGACACCTGGACCCTATCCTTGCTGTGGATGTGGAGGGACTGCTAGAGGACTGCAAATTGCTCGTTTCATCTCTGTGGAGCAGACTGCAGTTTCCCTAATATGAGCTAGGTAGCATGGCCCAGAGCTAACCCTCACCTGAAGTGGGGTAACTTTGAGATATTCAGGGGCCACTTAACAAGCTTTAAGGTGCAGACTCCCACGTTTTAAGTGCCTGTAGTATGATATAAGTGTTACAAGTATCTTGACCCTTATAACACAATCCCAAAGGACTGTTTTTAAACCTACCGTAGCAGGAAGTCAGGGACTCCCTGTTACTAGGGAGAAGGAGCTGGCAGTGG